GCTAATTTATTTACCCTGTGAATAGTAAAAACAAATCATAGGTGAAAAATACTTAGTGTTGTTTTTTTCTCCCGTTATACAATCTTTACTTAGTTTCCTGAATCATATGCTATATGATTCAATGATTTAATATTCAGCAAATATATATTTCCAATGTATAAAATAAATCAGAAAATGTGATAACTACTGTAAACAAAAAATAAATTGCACACATTTCCCTATACTCAGTGAAAAATAGGAATATTTATATTCTTTGGAAAAAAAGCCATTATGTTTAGTTTGTCAGAAACTTTATAAATGTATGCTTGGAAATGATGAGGTAAAGTGAAAAAAAGCAAGAATGCCTGGGATTCAAAGAAATAAAAAATGTGTAACCTAGACCCATAAAATAGAATTGGAAAGTACATATGAAAAAGAGTTATTTCTAAGAAATGAGGTTGAAAAGGATATCAGGAGTTATGTCATGGATAAATTTTCCTACAAGCAAGCATAATGAAATATTCCTAAACAATGAAGAGATACTGAAGTGAAATTTGAGTGGGAAAATAAAAATTATATTTGCAATTTAAGAAAAGAATTTTGGAACATGGAAGGCATGAGCTATATATAGCTGCCTCAGGGTTGTATACTCAAAATCTGGATATAAATATATATAATAATTTTAATATTTAATCTTTGTTTAAAGGAAAAAATAAACAAGGGTGTTGAAAACCACCAATATTGCAAATGCAGGATGTGCAGTAATATCACGAAAAGGAGCAGACCAGTTTTGAAGTTAATAAAAGTTCTCATTTTCAGAGCATTGTCACTATTAGAACTACTTTGCAGCTCCATGAGAAAGACCTATTTAGAGGGCATTGTTGTTACCTGTTTGAACTCAGAGTTCCTTTCTGGAAAGAGTCTTATCTTCACAACATTTGTTGAAAATAATCAGTGGCATTTGTTTAACATTGCAGATACTTAATATCTGGTGGTGTGATAACTGGTGGCACAATCAAAAGATTGACCAAAACTTAAAAGGAATTTCAAATAAACCAGATGTTCACAGAGTTTTTAAAATCTCTGACATTTTTCTTATTATTCTGGAGAGCCACATTCCAGTGCAGGGCTGTATGCATGTCCAAGAAAGACCTGAGTGGGCTCTAGTCACACAGGTTTGGCCAGTGTAGAGACCCCTCACAAACAAGAAGTGAATGCTAAGGAAGAGTTGTTAGCTGAAAGGGGTTGAATTTATGTCCAAATTCATACACAGAGTTCTTTGGTGAAAAGTGAAAAACTTACTGATTTAAGGCATTTAAGAAAAATTCTAGACACCAATAACTGATCAATTAACTAACCAAACAGCAGCTTCAGTGATTCAAATTATAGAGGAAACAAACTATAGAATCAGTCCAAGGAAGTCACACATGGACACACAAAAGAGTTGCTATAACATCAGCTGCAGAATTACCACCACCACCAATAGAATAGCAATAACAAACCCTAGAAGGAAGAGTCATCTCAATCCAGAGCTGTCATTTTATATTAACTAAATGTCTAGTTTTTATATGAAAAACATATTATAAAAAAGTATATAGGAAACTATGGTTCCAACATACAAAAAATTCATACAAATTGTATCAGAGGGAACATAGATTGAAGAACTAGATGGATATATTAAATCAACCATTATCCTGAATGGTATTGCCTAGGTTTTCTTCTAGGGTTTTTATGGTGTTAGATGTTATGTTTAAATCTTTAATCCATCTGTAGTTAATTTTTGTGTAAGGTGAAAGGAAGGGATCCAGTTTCAGCTTTTTGCTCATGGTTAGCCAGTTTCCCAATACCATTTATTAAACAGGGAATCCTTTCATCATTGCTTGTTTTTGTAAGGTTTGTCAAAGATCAGTTGGTTGTAGATCTGTGGTGTTACTTCTGCCATCTCTGTTCTGTTCCATTAGTCAATATCTCTGTCTTGGTACCAATACCATGCTGTTTTGATTACTGTAGCCTTATAATATAGTTTGAAGTCAGGTAGCATGATGCCTCCAGCTTTGTACTTTTTTGCTTAGGATTGTCTTGGCTATGAGGGCTCTTTTTTTGTTCCAAATGAAGTTTAAGGTGGTTTTTTTCCACTTCTGTGAAGAAGGTCAATGGTAGCTTGATGGGAGTATCAGTGAATCTATAAATTACTTTGGGCATTATGGCCATTTTCATGATACTGATTTTTTGTAACCATGAGGATGGAATGATTTTCCATCGGTTTGTGTCCTGTCTTACTTCCTTGAGCAGCGGTTTCTAGTTCTTCCTGAAGAGGTCCTTCACATCCTTTGTTAGTTGTATTCCTAGATATTTTATTCTGTTTGTGACAGTTGTGAATGGGAGTTTGCTCATGATTTGACTCTTTGAGTGTTATTGGTGTATAGGAATGCGTGTGATTTTTGCACATGGATTTTGTATCCTGAGACATTGCTGAAGTTGCTTATCATCTTATGGAGATTTGGAGCTGATACCATGGTGCTTTCAAAATATACAGTCATGTCATCTGCAAATAGAGACAATTTGACTTCTTCTTTTCTTAGGCATAGGCTAGGACTTCATGACTAAAACACCAAAAGAAATGGCAACAAAAGCGAAAATAGACAAATGGGATCTAATTAAACTTAAGAGCTTCTGCGCAGCAAAAGAAACAATCATTAGAGTTAACTGGCAACCAGCAGAATGGGAAAAAATTTTCAAGCGGTATCTGACAGAGGGCTAATATCCAGAATCTGCAAAGAACTAAAGTAGATTTACAAGAAAAAAACTAACAACCCCATTCAAAAGTGGGTAAAGGATATGAACAGACACTTTTCAAAAGAAGACATTTATGTGGCCAACAAACATGAAAAAATGCTCATCATCACTGGTCATTAGAGAAATGAACATCAAAACCTCATTGTGATACGATCTCACACCAATTAGAATGGTGATCCTTAAAAAATCTGGAGACAGCAGATGCTAGAGAGAATGTGGAGAAATAGGAACACTTTTACATTGTTGGTGGTAGTGTAAATTAGTTCAACCATTGTGGAAGACAGTGTGGCAATTCCTCAAGGATCTAGAAATAGAAATACCATTTGACCTAGCAATCCCATTACTAGGTATACATCCAAAGGATTATAAATCATTCTATTATAAAGACACAACCACACATATGTTCATTGCAGTGCTGTTTACAATAGCAAAGACCTGGAACCAACCCAAAAGCTCAACAATGATAGATTGGAGGAAGAAAATGTGGCACATATATACCATGAAATACTATGCAGCCATAAAAAAAAGATGAGTTTGTGTCCTTTGTAGAGATATGGATGAATCGGAAAACCATCATTCTCAGCAAACTGACATAAAAACAAAAAACAAGACACAGCATGTTTACACTCATTTGTGAGTGTTGAACTATGAGAACACATGGACACAGGGAGGGGAATATTGTACTCTGGGGTCTGTTGGTGGATGGGGGAATAGGGAAGGGATAGCAGTGGGTGGAGAGATTGGGGAGGGATAACATTGGAAGAAATGCCTGATGTAGGTTATGGAGGGATGGAGGCAGCAAACCACCATGTCATTTGTGTACCTATGCAATAATCCTGCAAGATCTGCACATGTCCTCCAGAACTTAAGGTGTAATTATTAAAAAAAAAAAAATCAGCCATTATCACTGAACTCAAAAAATGAAGAAAACCAAGTCTGAATAAGTATAATATGGGAACAATATTTCAGAGAATAGAGAATATCAAAAAAGAAAATAAACTAAAATTTTGAAGTTTAAGATTATAAGTAAAATAAAAAAGTCATTAAAAGGGTACAAGAGCAAATTTGAGCTGACAAAAGGAAAATTAATGAAATTCAAAGTAGGTCAATTGAGATTATTCAGTCTGACACAGAGAAAAAGTTTGGTGAAAAATAAACAGAATCTCAGAGATCTGTAGAACCTCATCAGTTATAACAATATATAGAAAATTAAAATCTCCGAAGAGTGGGGAGACAAAGAGGAAGAAAGACTACCTGAAAAGGTAATGTCTGAAAACTTTGCATATTTAATGAAAAAAACATTACACACACCAAAAAACACTCAGTAAATTTCAAATAAGAGTAAATCAAAGCGATCCATACCTAGACGCTGAATTGTAAAACTTTCTAAAGAAAAAGAGAAGGCAACAAGAGCAAACTAAATACTTATTTACAAGAAACATGCAGTACAGAACAAAGTGGAGCACTATATTTAACAGAGTGGGGAAAAAAAGACTGTCAACAACAACTAAAATTATGTCTAGAAATTACGCTTCAAAACTGGAGGAGAAAATAAAATACTTTGAGACACACAAAAGCCGAGGTATTGTGTGATATCCATCTGCTCTTCAAGAAGTAATAAAAGTTGTTCAGGCTGGAATGAAAGAACAATAAGTAATAACTGAAATCTGTACTATTAGCGCTTATAAAAATAACTACATGACTCAGTGTAAAATAAAACACAAAGGTATTTTTGTTACTGTTTTCTTCTGTATTATTCAAATGGCAACTTTATAAAGATGTAATTTAAAACTGTATTGACTAACTTACAACATATAAACATTTAATTACTATAAAAATATTCACACAATGGAGGAGCAAGAAATGTGCTATATTGAAACAAAATGTCTTTTACTATTAATATTAATCTGGTTTATATTTCTTTAAGTTATGATGTTAATTTTAATCTCTATTGAAACCATAAAGAAAGTATCTCAAAAAGGTTAATAAACAACAAGGGAATGGAAAGGACACAATATGAATATCTATTTAACAAAAAATAAGTCAGAAATAGAGAAAAAGAGGAGCAAATACACAAGACACATAGAACACAAATAACTAAATGATATATTCAAATTCTGTCAATCATTATATTAAAAGTAAATAAACAGATTGAGATGGTTGGTATAAAATATAATCTAGCTTATGTTGTATAAATCAAACACATTTTAAGCTCATAAATACAAATAGTTTTAAATTATAAAATAGTAAAATTAGAATAATATAGAGAAGATTAGCATGACTGCTGTGCAAGGATGACACACAAATTCATTGAGCATTTTATATTTTTGAAAAAGATAAAGTCACTTGCAAAAGGAAACCCATCCGCTTAGCAACACACCTCTCAACAGAAATCATTGTCAGAAGAGATTGAGGGCCTATTTTCAATATCCTCAAAGAAAAAAATTCAAACCAAGAATTTCACATTTCATTAAATGAAATTTCATAAAGAAGAAAACCTTTCCAGACAAACAAAGACTAAGGGAAAATATCACCACCAGACCAGCCTTAGAAGTAATCTTAAGAGAGTGTTCAATGTGGAAAAAAAAAGATTAGTACCTGCAACCCCCAAAACACTCAAGCAGATAGCCCACAAAAAATATAAAGCAAGTACCCAATTAAGTCTACAAATCAATCAGCTAGCAGAACAATCACAAGATAAAAACCTCGCATATCAATACTAACCCTGAATACAAATGGCCTAAACACCCCACTTAAAAACATGGAGTGTAAAACTGTATTTAAAAAAACATGGAGAGTAAAAGTGGATAAAAAGACAAGACCCAACTGTCTGAATGTCTCAAGAGACAGGCTCTAAGTAAAGGACTGAAGAAAATCTACCATGCAAACAGAAAATAGTAAAGAACAGGAGTCACTGTTCTTATATCAGATAAAACAGACTTTAAAGCAACCACAAACAGGAAGGACAAAGAAGGACATCAAATATTGCTAAAAGATTCAATTTAACAAGAAGACCTAATTACCCTAAATATATTTACATCCAAGGTTGGAGCAACAAGATTCATATAATACTTTTTTCTTGACCAATGAAAAGACTTGAATAGCCACACAGTAATTATGAAGGACTTTAACACCTCACTGACAAAATTGGGTAGATCATTAAGGCAGAAAACGAACAAAGAAATTCTGTACCTAAACTCCACACTTGAACAGCTAGAGCTTATAGACATCTACAGAATATTACACCCAGCAATCACGCACTATATATTCTCATCTTCACACAAAACATTAGAAAATCAACCACATGCCCAGCCATAATGCAAATTTCAATACATATAAAAAATCAAAACTATACCAAGCACATTCCGGACCACAGTGAAATAAAAATAGATATCAGTATTAAAAAGATTTTTCAAAACTGTAGAAAAACATGGAAATTAACAACTTGCTTCTGAGTACCTCTTGGGTGAACAAGAAAATTACGAAGAAATTTTTAAAAATTTTGAAGTTAATGAAAACTGAGACAGAACTTACAATAATTTTGGGGATGTAGCTAACATAGTATTAAGAGGAAAATTTATAAATGCCTTTATCAGAATGTTAGAAATATCTCAAATTAACAATTTAATCACATCTAGTAAAACTAGGAAGAAAAGAAAAGTTCAACCCCAAAGCTAGTGAAGAAAAGAAATAACAAAAATTCGAACAGAACTGGACAAAATTGAGACTCAAATGTCCATACAAAAGAACAATAAAACTAATATTTTGTTATTTCAAAGAATAGACAAAGTTGATAGATTACTAGCAAGATTAACAAAGAAAATAAAACACGAAAGTCTAACTGCAATCAGAAATGAAAATGATGACATTAAAACTGATTCTAAAGAATTACGAAAGATCTTCAGAGACTATTAATGAGCACCTTTATGCACACAAATTAGAAAATTTAGAGAAAATGGATAAATTTCTGGAAAAACAAAAACCCTCCCAAAATTAACGCAGGAAGAAAGTGAAAACCTGAACAGACCAATAACAAGTTCAGAAATTGAATCAATAATAATAAAACAACCTGCAAAACAAACACACACACATACAAAAGGCCTGGACCAAATGGATCCACAGCCAGATTCTCTCAGATTTGCAAAGAAAACTGATACCAATCCTACTGAAAGAATTGGGAAAAATCAAGGAAGGGCTTCTCTCTGTTAGTCATTCTATGATGCTAGCAGAATCCTGATACGCAAATCTGCCAGAGACAGAAATGAGAAAGAAAACTGCAGGCCAATATCTTTGATGAACAGAGACGCAAACATTTTCAGTAAAATATTAGTAAACTTAATCCAGTAGCACATAAAAAAGTTAATTCCCCATTATCAAATAGGCTTTATTCCTCCTTATTCCTGGGATACAACATTCGTTTAACATACACAAATCAATAAGTGTAATTCACAACATAAATAGAAATAAATGTAAAACCATATGATTATCTCAGTAGATGCAGAAAAAGCTTTTAGTAATATCCAACATTGCTTTATAATAAAAACTCTCAGCAGACTAGGTAGCAAAGGTTATACCTCATAGTGTTAAGATCCATCTATAACAGACCCACAGCCAACATTATACTGAATGGGCAAAGCTGGAATAATTTCTTTTGGTGACTGCTACAAGACAAAGATGCCCACTCTCATCACTCCTGTTCAACATTATATTGGAAGTCCTAGCCGGAGTATCCAGGTAAGAGAAAGAAAATACATCCAAATAGGAGAAGAAGAAAAGCTTTCTCACTGCATTCGCAAGATAATTCTATATTTGGAAAACCCTAAGGAAACTTCCAAAACGCTACCAGAACTGATAAATGAATTTAGCAAGGCTTCAGGATACAAAATAAATATACAAAAATCAGTAGCATTTCTACACACCAATACCATCCACAATGAGTTTAAATCAAGAACACAATCACATTTGCAATAGCTGCAAATATAATGAATTACTCTAGAAAACATCTAACCAAAGAGGTAAAATATCTCTACAAGGAGAACTATAAAATACCACTGAAAGTAATGAGAGATAACACAGATAAATGGAAAAATATTTCATGTTCATGGATTGGAATAGTCAATATCATCCAATAGCTCATTGCAATTTACAGAGTCAGCACTATTCCTGTGAAACAACCCACATCATTCTTCACAGAATTTAAAAAAAAAAAGCAACTGTTTTAAAATTCATATAAAACCAAAAAAGAACTCAAATAAACAAAGCAATCCTAAGCAAAAAGAACAAAGCTGAAGACATCACACTACCTGACTTCAAACCAAACTGTAAGGTTCAATAACCAAAACAGTATGGCACTGAGACAAAAACAAACACATAGAGCAATGAAAGAATAGAAAACCCAGAAACAAAGGCACATGCCTAGAACTTTGACAAGGCTGACAAAAACAATGGGGAAAGGATACCCTCTTCAATAAATATTGCTGGAATAGCTGGCTAGCCATATGCAGATGAGTGGAACTAGACCCTTACCTCTCACCATACTCAAAAATTAACTCAAGGTGGATTAAAGATATAAATGTAAGACCTCAAACTATACAAATCTTAAAAGAAAACTGAGGAAATTTCATTATTGACATTGGCCTTAGCAAACAGTTTTTGGCTATTTCCCAAAAACCAACTACAATAAAAATAAAAACTGACAAGTTGGACCTAATTAAAGAACTTCTGCTCAGCAAAGTATCAAGAGAATAAACAGATGACCTAAAGAATGGAATAAAATATTCACAAACTATGCATACAACAAAGGCCTAGTATCCAGAATCTATAAGGAACTTAATAAGCAAAAAATAGAAAAATTTTTAATGGGCAATGTACATGAACAGACCCTTTTCAGTTTTTTCATGTATATGTTCATAAACATATATGTGGCAAAAAATATGAAAAACTCACATTTTTTGGCTCAACATCACTGAAGATTAAAGAAATGCAAATCGAAACCACAATGAAATACCATGTCACATGTCAGAATGGCATTTACTCATTTATTTACTTCTTTATTTTTAAACTTTTAGATTCATGGTACATGTGCAGGTTTGTTAGAGGTAAACTTGTATCATCAGGCTATTTTGTACAGATTACTTCATCACCTAGGTACTTGGCCTAGTACGCAATAGTTACTTTTGTCTATTTTTCTTCCAACTCCCACCCTTCACCCTCAACTAGGCCCCAGTGTCTGTAATTCCCCTCTTTGTATCCAAGTGTTCTCATCATTTAGCTTCCACCTATAAGTGAGTATATGTGGCATCTGGTTTTCTGTTCCTGCTTTAATATGCTAAGGATAATGGCCTCCAGCTTCATTTATGTTACTACAAAGGACATGAGGTTTTTTTTTTTTTTTTTTTTTTTTTTTTTTTATGGCTGCATAGTATTCCATGGCGTATATGTGCCACATTTTCTTTCTCCAATCTGCCATTTAGGTTGATTCCATATCTTTGCTATTGTAAATAGTTCTGCAATTTACATATGAATGCATATGTCCTTTATGTCAGAATGGTTTATATTCTGTTGTGTATATATCCAGAAAAGGGATTGCTGACTAGAATGATGTTTTTGTTTTTAGCTCTTGGAGGAATCACCACACTGCTTTCCACAATGGTTGAACTATTTACACTCCCACCAATAGCTTATAAGCATTACCTTCTCTCTGCAACCTCACCAGCATCTGTTACGTTTTGACTTTTAAATACAGAATTGCTATTATTAAAAAGTCAAAAAGCAACAGATGCAGGAAAGGCTTCAAAGAAAAGGGAACAACTTATATACACTTTAATGGGAATGCAAACAATTTCAGTGCCTCTTGAAAGCAATTCAGAGATTTCTTATAGAACTTTAAACGGAGGTACTATTCAATCTAGCAATCCTGTTCCTGGGTGTATACCCACGGGAAAATAGATAATTATACCAAAAAGACACATTTACTCATGTTTATCATCACACTGTTCACAAAAGTAAATGCATGGAATCAACCTTGGTGCTCAACGGTGGTGGACTGAATTAAAAATATGGTACATATATACCATGGAATTGTATGCAACCATAAAAAATTAAAACCATTTTCTTTGCAGCAGCCTGGAGGAAGCTTGATGGCATAATATTAAGTGAATTAATTCAGGAACAGAAGACCAAATACTCCATATTTTCACTCATAAGTGGGAGCTAAACATTGAGAACACATGGGCATAAACGTAGGAACAATAGATACTGCAGACTACTAGACTGGGAAGGGTGAGAGGAGGCTATGGTTTGAAAAACTACCTATTGTATACTATACTC